AAAAAAAATTTCCTGTTTACATTTTTTTCCAGGTCTTGGATGGCAATATGGTTCGAGTGGCAGAAGTATGGATGGATGAATGGAAATTTCTATTCTATAAGTTAGCACCACGTAAGAATTTCCACATAACCAATTTCTTATATCTCTTACATGGTCATTTGTGTGCAAAGGAGACCAAATTTTTTTTCCAAAATTTCCGCATATCAGAAATGTTAGAAGTTCACAGCTTTGGCCACTCTTATCTCACTAATCTTACAGTCTCATAGGGGTGAATGGCATTTAGATCTGTAAAAATTGGTTTACGGACGAGCTAGTAGCAATCATTTGGAAGATACAGTAGTCGCTAAAGTATTCCTACAGTTTTCAGTTAGCTTTCTCAAAGGCCTTCAAAATTCTATCATTGATTTTTTTTGTAAGAAGTTATGGGCAAAATTAATAAAAATTGTGTATATACTCTATTATATCTCACCTCTTCCAAATCCCCCCTTTCCACCATGCCTTATTTTCTGAAAATTTTTAAATTTTCTCAGATTTGGCTTTTTGGAGCTGTAATTTTATGCACCTATCAAATTATTTCAGACTCATGTTTTCTTTTCAAAATCAGTTTAATCAAATTTATCTTTAGAATCAGCAAAACTTCGGAATAAAGTAGATATGAGTGAGCGAATGGAACTACGCCGTAGATTGCAATGTAAGAGCTTCAGATGGTACCTTGAGAACGTCTTCACTGATCATCACTTTCCAATGGATGGTGATTTCTTTGGAAGGGTAAGGCGACAACAAACCTTTCTCTTGGATAATTAGTCTTACTATCTTCAGATATTCTTTCCAAGTGAGGTAGGCAATTCTACTTGCCTATCTTGGGCTTTAGCATCGTCTGGTATAAAGAAGATAACCCAAAACCCTTGTAGAGAGAGACCTGACAGAACACAGGTGAATAAGAAGACAAATAGACAACTTTTGATGCTTTCAGATAACCATCGGGTATAAGCCCTATTGTATGGTAAGCCGTCCTGGAGAACCGGGTACTAAAACACATCGCCTAACTATGCCGCCCTGCACGTTAGGATTCGATCATTGGCAGGTTGGTTGGATCAGTTTTCGAATCATAACGTGCAGGGTGTTCTGGTTTTGGTGATGTCAGCCTAACCCTTACTTCATTTTGCCGAAAGGGATATTTTAATTCCCAAAAATTTT